AATCAGTCACAAGAACGTCGAATCTGAATCACTTGAAAAAACACGGGGGGGTGCTTAACTTTTTTCCAGGTGTATATAACAATTTGCATCACTTACAGATGCAACTATAAATCAACTTGTTCACTGACGCAAACATCCATTTCATAGGAAAAAAGGTGATTAAAATGTTGACTGATCTGGCAAAAATGCCTTTCATTATTGTTACTTAGTTTACAGTTCACATTTATTTCATTAAGTAATGAATGATATTTGTGTAGTCACTATTGTGGTATCCAGTGTACTTTTGTGTCTTAAAGTTTTCATTGGCAGTCGATGCTAACTTAAGCATTGGATCTGAACATATTTTTGTTGCTGTCATGTTCTTATTTTGTTTCATAATAAAGCTGAATGTGCAGCTGTTGTAATCATACAAGATGATTTTTCCTACTACTGTTGCTCTTTGCATTTGAAATTTTACCAGCCTGCAATCTATACTGATAGATGACATTCTTTTGAGAGTGTTGTTGTTGTTTTTGACAAACCAACAATTATGTGGTTTCAGCTGAAGATGGACCTTCCAGGTTTTTCTAGCTATTATTTTCTCTTTCAAATTCATAGATCCTTTCTAGAAGACAAGATGTTGGAAACTGAAGAACATCAGGGATGGCTTAATCTTGTGTTCAGTTACATGACACCTAGGAATTTCATGCTCATTGTGCAAGATTGTCTAATAATTGGGAGGAGCTTAGTTGCATAGTGAAATAGCTAGCATCGTTTCATATTTCTCTCCAGACCATGTATATATATATTGTAGTTTTCATTGATTTAACATAAATTAATCTTTGTTTGTTATTAATAGTTTCATTTAAAAAAAAATAACACGATTTTTAACTTTTGCCAACTAGTCTTCATTTTGTAATCTTGTACATTTTTGATAGTGTTTGGTCAAGATATAAGCCTATTTTATTTGTATGTCTGTCTTTTTGGATCATTTTCTTGATAGCTTTAATGACAAATCTCTTGATCAGCCAAACCAACTTATGGTATTTCACCTCTAGGAGGTACAATTCATATTTTTTGGAATAGGCACTGTTGTATGAGAAAAACAACAGTGTTCATCTACCCCAAAATTGTAAATAACTGGAAGAAATAAATGACTTTCACTTTGTAGATGCAGAAATGTTTTACTAAACTTAAACTTTGCCTGAAGTTATGGTGTTGTTCTAATACAATATCTATAGGGATTCTCACAAAGCCAATAATCATTGGGAATTGTAAGGACAAACAGCAGATTTTCTTAGATTAAGGTAACAAAATGCTCGACAAGGTACCAGTGCAGCAGACATGAATGTTATCCTGATGGGATACAAGTTGCAGAGAAAGGAAGCCATAAGAGAGGCCAGAGAAGAACTTCTATTAGTGCTAATAAAAATCCTTAATGGCCAAAGGGGAGCTTTGAGCTGCAGTGCAAAACAGTGAAATTGATGATGAAAAAGAAAAATGTTGTGGATTATCGAAGGAGAAGAAAAAACAGACTGCAAAAATGCATGATGCAAAAAGATTTTTTCAATAAACTCTTGTCATTGTAAACTCAGTTTGAGCCAAAGAATTAAAGCTGAATTTGCACAGTTACAGAGATGACCATCACTAGCCAGATAGCCAGAACAATAAGAATAATTAAATATGGGGAGATAGAAAACCACTAGACCACTATATTCCTAGAAAAAGCCTCAACCAAAGACTTCTTAAATTAATCCCTGTAAATCCCTGTATTTCATTCCAACTTTTATGGATTTCTAGATCTCATATGGATCCTACTTTGTTACAGTTGGTCAGGTTGTCACAGGGATTCGTTGTTAAATTTATGCTGTATTGATAGGATTTAGAATTGCTGAATGCTTTATCAGTCTGTTTCTTTTTTGCACATTTTACATTTTTAATTTGTAGTTGATGTAGAGCCTTCCTGTATGGTTTAACTGTTGCATAGATATTGAAAATTTTAGTCTCATATCATGTTTCTATTCACCTAATTAACCATATGGCTATAAATATTGCTTATGTGGGATAGAATAGAAACATAGAAGCTTTTAGTTATGCCCAGTTCTATATAAGCACTTTATTGAAATTTTATTTATTTATCTAATTATTATTCAATACAATTTTATTTTTATTTACTTTTATGTTATGTTTAATACAAAATAATTTCAATAAGAATCTTTTTAAATACATTTTGGACATGGCCAAAGAAAGTCTAAGGTTTCAAATGGGCTTAAACCTTTAGAGAAAAACCGATTCTTTGATTTCCTTAGCAATTTTAGCTATGCATGGGAAAAAAAGTCTAGTGGTCATAAATTTTGGATTTGCATGCCCTAAACTATGTGTTGTCCTGTGGGTTCTCCATCACAGTTCCCTACAGAGAGGCTCCACAATATAACCTTCGGAGGCGGGCTAGTGCTGCTGTCGCAGCAATGAGTCGCAACAACAGTGACCCACGCCTTGAACTAGCTCTTGGTTTCAAACCACCCTCTCCTTGCCCCTCTTACCGCTCATTGCCTCCCTTCTCCTCTGTTTCTACAATCTCAGAGGCATCGACTGGGTCCTCATCTACCTGTACACAACCTAGTGGAGAAGATAGTGAAGACACAGCTTCTGCCAGTGTAGTAACAGGTACGTCTTTTTGTTTAACCAAAGAGTGACAAAAAAATACAAAATGAGTCTGTATTATCCATATAAAAAAGTCAGTATAATATACTGTCAATGTAATATTATATAATATTGTACTAATCAAATACATCATGGAACCAAGAATTTAACCCAATATAAAAAAATATCCTTTTTCATTCTTACTCTGAGTTATATAAGGTTATGCAGATAGCTGTAGACTTGCACATGTCATGTGCAGTTGGCATTAAACATTGAGAATGCAAGAACATATAGTTAAATTTTTTCAAGAATTATAATAATCAGTTCTTTTGCTAAAACATAATTTTGTGAAAAAAATTTCTAATCGGAAGAAAAATTAAGTGTAAAAATAATGTCATATGTATGTCCACAAGATTAGAGCTGTTTTCATATTTACATCTTATGTATTGATTTTTGTCGTAAAGAATATGCCATTTGTTACTTAATGTGTTGCAGATATTATTTGAATTGTTAAACTTACTGAGACTAAATAATGTTTGGAATGCCAGTGAAGCAAAAAATTGGGAACTGATACAGAGTCAAAAATCAATATGAATAGCTAGCTCATTTCTGTGCTTGTAACGTTTCTTATCTTCAAACTTTGTGTGGTCAACTTCTAAAATGCCTTGTAAAGAAATGTGCATAATGTCTTGGAGTGGTTTTGTTTTAGACATTCACAAAGAATTACAGAAGGACTATTTTCACTAGTAGTACCTACTTATCAAACTGACAGATTAGAGCAGTGTTTCTCAAACAGTGGTTCATGAACAGGTTTCCATGGGAGTCACAAACTGTCTGCACAGAGTCAACATTTCTTTTTTGAGTCCATGAGGTGTCTGAGAGGTGCAAATATCACCTTTGTTAGGAACTATGATGAACTGCAAAAAGAAACATTAAGAATTTTTTCTTCCTTGTAAAGATAATGGGGGGTCTCGACAACCAAAGCCGCAGGAGTCATCTGGCAAATCTGACTGGGAAAACACTGAACTAGAAGAAATGCAGTTCATCAAAAGCACTCACTGTTAGCTCTTGGGCTACTTTGTTTGAAGAGTAGAAATTTATTGCCACTCATATAAAGAACTCATGGCTCAATGGTCCAACACACTAACCACTAGGCTGCATGTAACTCCTGATATTGATGGTACTCCAAAATTAAGCACGAGTTTTATGATTATTAACAAGAAGAAATTTTGTGTGATAACTCTTCTACAGTTTTATATATATACCAGTGTCAGCTGATAGCTGCAGTTTCAAATGGAATCAGCTCTCATCTGTCTAGCTATGTCATAATTAGAAATAACACCCAAAGAAGTTGTTCTTGCAAACAGGTGATAATTTTTAATCACCATATGTTTGAAAATTTAGTTTTAGAAAAAACTAAAAACTAAAATGTATATGAAATAAAATGAGATGAAAACAGAAGAATGGGGCTATTGTTAAAAGAGTGTGGCAGTAGGTGAATAAGGAAAGAATGAATTAGACGTTGCTCTCTATACAACATAAAGTGAATACTATAATTTTTACAATGAGGTCATTACTTGTTAGGAAAAATGTTTTTTCAAGGACTACAATGTGCGAGATAAATTATTCCACTAAAATTAGAAAGAGTTGTTTATAGTATAGGTGTGCCTTAATTTTAAAAATATCGGTATTCCATTCTTTTCATTGCAACTGTTAACTCTTTCAATACAGGGTCGGTCAATGTGATGACCTCGTAACCATTTTGTGCTTGTTATAGTTTTCATGCTATAACTTTTAAATTAGTAAGCAAATGTTAACGAAATTTGGCAGATTATCAGTAAACATTACAATGCTTTCATTCCCAAAATATCTAATTTTTTCAAGTCATAAGGTTTGTAAAGCAGTGTTTCTCTCATGCCTTTTTTTCTTTTCACATCTTGCCTATCTATCATGCAAAGTAATTTTCATTTTAAGATTAAAAATACTTTTATGCATAAGGAAATTTTGAAATTTCACATGCAAAATCTTTATAATGTTTGGATAGTTATCAAACATTTCTTAAGAAAAAACTTTATATTTTATCTATGATTTTCAGTAATTAATCTCTGTACGGGTTCAAGGGATTTGAATGATCTTGCAATCTTTTTCATTCTAGAATGAACACAAATTATAACAAGAAAACATAAATGTATAGACGCAAAATATCTTAAATATCATAACATTATACATTTATGTATATTTATTATTTTTATTATATTTGCCTTTCACCAGTGCCTGGCTAACAATACAGAAGTTACAATGACGCAGCTCACATGTACTCATGTTACCATATCAAATAACATAAAACTGACTTTTGGTCTGTACACTTGTCTTGGCTGTGTTTTAGTTGACTAGTATTTTGTAAAATACAGTCACATTTCAATTATTATACATTA